TTTGTGCCCGTTCCCTCTTGTCCTGTCACTGGGCACCACTGGAAACAGACTGTCCCCATCCCCCTGGCACCCTCCCTTGAAGGATTTATCAGTGTTGATAAGATCCCCCCTCAGTCTTCTCTCCTCCAGACTCAAAAGCCCCAAGTCCCTCATCAGAGAGATGCTCCAGTCCCCTCATCATCTCCGTAGCCCTTTGCTGGACCCTCTCCAGCAGTTCCCTGTCCTGCCTTGGCTTTGCTTGACGTGGGTTTGTGTTACGGGTAGGGGTGGGGATGGGGGTTTGGGGGTAGGGTAGAGCCCCAACTCGTAACGCTAATGCCGAACGAGCGAGGGTTTGGCACGAGGGTTGCGGGTTGGGGCTCAGGATACGGCTTTATGGTAGGGCTAGGGTTGGGGTTAGGGTTGGGGTTTCCAGCAGGGATGTAGGGTTAAGGTTTAGGATTAGGATTTGGGATGTATGGTCTGATTTATAAACATGAGTTAAGGTCGGGGTTTAGGGTATAGCATTAGGATTTTGGTTTAAAGTAAGGGTGTAGGGTTAGGGTTAAGGGTTGGGATTGGGATTAAGGCTGAAGTTTATTGCAAGGCTGTAGGGTTAAGGTTTAGGATTTGGATTTAGGAGGTAGGGTTTAATATATAAATATGAGTTAAGGTCGAGGTTTAGGGTATAGGATCAGGATTTGGGTTTCCAGTACGGGTGTAGCGTTAGGGTTAAGGGTTGGGACCTTGGTTAGGGTTAGGATATAGGCTTGGGGTTAGGGTTAAGGTTTACGGCAAGGCTGTAGGGTTAAGGTTTAGGATTTGGAGTTAGGATGTATGGTTCAAATTATAAATATGAGTTAAGGTTGGGGTTTATGGTATAGGGTTAGGATTTCGGTTTATAGTGAGGGTGTAGGGTTAGGGCTGGGCTGAGGGTATAGGATTGGCGTTAGGGCTGAAGTTTATGGCAAGGCTGTAGGGCTAAGTTTTAGGATTAGGATTTAGGATGTATGGTTCGATTTATAAATGTGAGTTAAGGTCAGGGTTTAGGGTATAGGATCAGGATTTCAGTTTACAGTAAGGGTGTAGGGTTAGGGCTGGGCTGAGGGTATAGGATTGGCGTTAGGGCTGAAGTTTATGGCAAGGATACAGGGTTAAGGTTTAGGATTTGGAGTTAGGATGTATGGTTTGATTTATAAATATGAGTTAAGGTCGAGGTTTAGGGTATAGCATTAGGATTTGGGTTTCCAGTAAGGGTGTAGGGTTAGGGTTAAGGTATAGGATTGGGGTTAGGGCTGAAGTTTATGGCAAGAATGTAAGGTTAAGGTTTAGGATTTGGATTTAGGAGATAGGGTTCAATTTATAAATATGAGTTAAGGTCGGGGTTTAGGGTATAGGATTAGGATTTGGGTTTCCAGTACGGGTGTAGGGTTAGGGTTAAGGGTTGGGGTTGGGGTTAGGGCTAGGGTATAGGCTTGGGGTTAGGGTTGAGGTTTACGGCAAGGATGTAGTGTTAAGGTTTAGGATTAGGATTTAGGAGGTACGGTTATAAATTGGGGTTATGGTTTGGGGTTAGAGCTTGGGGTGTAGGGCTAGGGCTTTGGGTTTCCAGTAAGGGTGAAGGGTTAAGGTTAAAGTTTCGGTTTAGGGGATAGGTTTTAGGATCAGGGTTAGGGTTAACAGCAAGGGTTCAGGTTAGATTTACAGGTGATGAGTTAGGGGTAGGGTTTAGGGTCAGATGTTAGCATATAGGGTTAGAGTATAGGATGGCGTTTATGGTAACGGTGTAGGGCTAGGGTTAAGGGTTAGGGTTGAGGTTAGGGCCAGGGTATAGGATTGGGTTTCACAGCAACAGGGGAGGGTTAGCCTTAAGGCTGAGGGTTAGAGTTGGGGTTTACGGCGAGGGCGTAGGGCTAAGGTTTAGGGTTAGGGTTGAATGTACCAGTTAGGGGTTAGGGTTACGGTTTAGGATTAAGGCACAGGTTGTTTTCTAAGGTTAGGTTCAAGGGCTGCAGGTAGGGGCAGGGTTTAGGGTTAGGGCTAACATCGGGGGCTAGGGGCTAGTACTAGGGTTCAGAGCTTGGGTTTGGGATCATAGACTCATAGAATGGTTCAGGTTGGAAGGGACCTTTGAAGATCATCCAGTTTCACCCCACCTGCCCTGGGCAGGGACACCTCCCACCAGCCCAGGTTGCTCCAAGCCCCGTCCAACCTGGCCTTGAACACCTCCAGGGATGGGGCAGCCACAGCTTCTCGGGGCAACCTGCCCCAAGGGCTCACCACCCGCACAGCCAAGAAGTTCTTCCTAATATCTCATCTAAATCTCCCCTCTTCCAGTTTGAAGCCATTCCCCCTCATCCTATCACTCCATACCCCAGTAAAAAGTCCTTCCCCAGCTCTCCTGGAGCCCCTTTAGGGACTGGAAGGGGCTCTAAGGTCTCCCCAGAGCCTTCTCTTCTCCAGGCTGAACCCCCCCAACTCTCTCAGCCTGTCCTGATCAGGAACCCCAGCTCTTGCCCATCCACCTTCTCGCTCCACAGGGCCTGGTTGTTGTGTCCCTCGGAGAACAAGAAGTCCTGCAGCAGCCGCAGCAGCTTGAGGGCATTGTGGGTGAGACCAGGCAAGGTGGCCGGTCCCGACTCCTTCAGGTCCGTCAGTGCCGACTCCAGCATCATCTCCAGCAGGCTACAGGAGAGCAGACAGCTCCGTAGGGTGGTCCTCCCTTGGGGTGCACCCCACCAAACCCCACTCCAGACCCGAGCAGGACTCACCTCCGCTTGATCTCATCGGGGGGCCGCACCAGCTCGCACGCTGTCCCCAGCTTGGTGAGGACGGAGAAGACCTGCCCACGTTCCCTCCATGCCACGTCGTCCCAGCCCTCCACTCCACGCCAGGTCACCGAAAAGACGATATTGGTCAAGAGGTTGCACAGCTCCTCTTCAGGCGTTTGCTGCCAACAGGGAAGAAGGGTGAGAGGTCCGGTGTCCAGCATAGCCCAGGGTGGTGGGCACGATGGTTTGGGGCTCACCTGGGGGTTGCTGGTATTGGAAACATTGTCGCTGGGCAGCGCATCCTGGTAGCTGCTCTCATCCAGGACATTTGAGAGGCTGGAGCTCTTGCGTGCTCGCATTCCCGGGAAGGGTTTGAAGCTCTCCAGGGGTGAGGGGGTGTCGGGGCCGCTGGCGGGGGTCTGTGTGCCGCTCTCGGCCGTGGCCATGGAGCTGGTGCTGGCCAGGTCGAGTCCCAGGTCAAAGGGTGAGGTGGAGAAGGGCGAGAGTGGGTGATAGACACCATCAAAGGGAGGACCATCGCCGGGGTTGGAGGATGAGCGGCTGGCCCGGTCGGAGGAGTCAAAAGACTTGAAGTTGTAGGAGTGGAAGGACTTGGTGCGGCCGCTTGGGGAGATGGAGTGGTCAGAGAAGCCCTCAGAGAGCTCCTGGTCCGAGGCCTCATAGCCCAGTGGCAGGAAGACATCCAACTCCTGCAGTTCGGATGGCGGTGGGCTCGTCCCCTCTTTGCCAGGGGGGTCTGAGAGGTTGAGGAGCTCCAAGCAGCCCCCGTTGCCTGCAGTGCTCAGGCTGTGCTGGCGGGACTCGTAGGACTCTTTGACGTAGAGCTTGGTGAGCGTGTCTTGCCAGCCAGCCAACCTCGCCAGTTGCTTCACCATGTCCTGCTGCGCGTAGATCAAGTGGAAGAGCTGCAAGAGAAAGCGAGAGGGAAGACCTGATGATGTTGCCCCAGCTCCTGGTAGCCTCTTGGGCTTGCCCCCCTCCAAGGGGCAGGATGCCCTGTTCCGAGCACCCCAGATCCTCTATAACCATCATGGGGTGGTGAGGCTGCACCACCTCCACGCTGGCACGTCCACGTGCTGGCACCCCACGCACATGGGGTGTTACCACCATCTCCATGACCCCTGCGTTTGGGCATGGCTGGGTGCCCAGGGAGCTCAGCCCCAGGGTGACAACTCGGTCACAGCCCCTTGTGCTCATGGCCCTGCTCACCTTGCGGCAGATATCAAGCCGGACAGTCAGCTCAGCCCGGTGGGACAGGTAAACGACAGCCACCAGGTCCTTGTAGTTGGGAGGGTCTACGCACAAGGAGAGAGAGCATGGTGGTGGGACAGGTCCTTCTGTCCCCAAAAGCCACCAAAGACCCCCAGCCCCAAGACCAGCTGAGTCTCATGAGAAGCCACCAGTGATGACCCCGTGGCACGTGTTTGGGATGGGTGGCCAAGACCAGCCTGGTTTGGCAGGGCACGTGGTACCTGCCCCGAGGACCTGCTCCGAGAGGCAGCGGAAAAGCAGCATGGAGCCGGGGACGTCACTGAGGCAGGCAATGAGCCCCTGGTACCCGATGTCCTTCAGCTTCAGGCGGTTCTTGCTGCGCTCAGGGACCTTCTCGTACTTTAGCATCTTGTAGAGGACCTGGTGAGACACCGAGGTGGCCACTCGGCTGTGGCAAAGCCCGTGGCCACTGGGGATGGCAAGAAGTCAGCGCTGGCGACCCGCCTTACCTTGAAGACCCTCTCCCGCACTTCATCTGAGAACTTCTTCTGCACCAGCAGCGAGAAGAGGACCTCCACATGGCCTGGCTCAAAGAGGAAGGCAAAGAGCTGCTCCTGGGCAGGTGAGCCCTTCAGCAGGCTGTGGATCACCTCCAGCGCCCCGCAGACCTGCAGGACACAGGGCCGGTTGTCCGTTGCCCTCCATGTGCCCCACCAGGACCTCAGTGGCTTCTCCCCACCCACTTCTGGACCACCCCATAGCACTCCGAGGTGTTTAGGGACCTGGGTGGCTCGATGTCGTACCTGCTGCTCATCCTGTGCCCCGGCCACGTAGCTCAACAAGCTCTGCATCTCCTCCCCGGAGAAGCTCCTGCAGAAGAAATCCTTCACCAGACTGAAGAGGGAGGTCTGCACTGTCTTGATGTCATCAGTGGCCGTTGTCTTCTCCCTGGAGGTGCTGATGGACAGACACGCGTGGGCATTCCTTCTGGGGATGTGCACAGCCACCCTCCTGCCCCTTGTCACCCATCGACAGCACGATCCCAAATCCCACCATGGAGCCTGAGGAGCTCCGGCGCAGCCCGGTGTAGATATCCCTTCTGGCCAACCCTACCCAGCGGGAAATGTCCACCCCGTGCATTTGGGTGTCTGCAGGGTGTCTGCACCCCCAAGTGCCACAGGCGTGCAGAAACGCATCAGGTCAGACAAGAAGAGGGCATCAGCTTGTTGCAGAAACCACCACGCTCTTGGTTGCTGCTGCTGGAGAGATGCTGAGGGTGGATTTTGGGGCTGACCAGTTGCGGGTCTGGATGGAGGCTTTGGGATGGGGCATGGCCATGGGGACTGGAAGGTCATGCACCCACCGCCATGGTCCCACACCGGGAGATTATCCCATGAGGTACTTGCAGGAGGGATATTGCCCCAAGCAAAGGGTGTCTACCCCAAACCGCAGCTCTGAGGGGTGAGGCCCACCACGACGTCAGCGTTCAAGGGTCCAGGCTACAAGCAGCAGCTCACCCGTAGAACGTCCGGACGGAGTCGAGGATGTACTGCACCCCGTACTTCTTACGGATGCGCTGCTTGTGGTCCTTGATGACATTAGCCAGATACTGGATGTGACCTGCAGGGAGAAGGTGTGAGCAGCCATGGAGGCTGCTTGGGATGGAGAACACCCCCAAACACCCCTAGTTCCCACCTAAGCGGACGGCGAAGTCGCTGTTGCTCCAGATGCGGAAATCGAAGAGGAGATGCTGGTAGAGAAGGTGCAGCAGGAGCCCGCTGCCCTCAGAGGCCACCTGCTCCATGAGGATCTGCGAGGCCATCAACGTGCTCATGTCCAGCAGCGGACCGGAGACCTACCATGAGCGAGAGGGAAGGCTTGCAGCCCTGGCGTCCCTCTTGGGGAACGGACCTGGGGACCATGGGACAAAACCTTTGGTAGCCCCCGCACACCTTCTGCAGCAGTGCCCCGATGATGGCCGGCCCATGGCACTGCACCAGGCTCTCCTGGTTCACTGGGTGGTTCTGGATGAAGTTCTTCACCAGCAGCAGGAAGGCGGCCACGCTGTTCCTCTCCAGCCTGCTCTCTGCAAGACACAGGGCAGAGCCCCACCAGTAGCTGTGAGCCCTTGGGCCTGCCCAAACACCTTCCTACAGAGCTGCCTGTGTCTGCCTGCAAAGGGCATCCTGGAGATTCCACCATAAAAGTTCTCTGCAAATTTTTCAGCCTGTTCCCTTATTTCCCCCAAGTTTAAGTGAGTGGAAACTTCCATTGCTCTGAGCTCCTTGGAAATAAGCAGCTGGGTATCGGGACAAAGCCCGTTTCACCTACGTAGGAGAAGGCTCCTGCATGAACCCAGCCCTACTATAAGACACCAGAGACTCCACGCAAAGGCAAGCCAGAGGTAGGCACGCTGGAGCCACCCTCATCTTCCCAGAACTGCTCGTTTATGACTAATTGGGTCATAACAACATTACAAGACGTCAATAGTTTCTCCGTTATCCCATAAATCTCGGTGCCCCAGACAAGACCACTCATGCCCATGGTAGCCACCAGCCCGCTGCAGGCAGCACCCACATGGCAGCGGGGTTACCTCCAGCCACCCGAGCGGGATGGCTGCTACTCCACGTCCCCTGAGGTCCTCACCTGAAGACTTGCCCAGCGGGATAAGCATGCCCTGGGCGTTCCTGGAGGACGTCAGCTCTGGCCCCACCAGGTCGTTGGTCTCCTGCTCATCCTCGGGCTCTTCCTTCTTGGACACCACTTGCTCGAGCAGGGGCAGCAGCACGCCCATCCCACCCACGCAGTTGACCACGTCCTGCGGAGGGAGGCGAGAGGCTTTGCTGGGTGCCGTGTGGTGACAGCAGCGTAAAGAAGGAGGTTGCATGAGCACCCTGGGTTTGTTCTGTCTGCTCATGGGCTCGGCCCAAGCCAGGGAGAGCCAGGCCCTGCAGCTAGCAAAGATTGGGGTATGCCCTGACCCATCCTACAGCACAAACCTGAAACAGGTCATAGAATCATAGAATGGTTTAGGTTGGAAAGGACCTTGAAGATCATCGACTTCCAACCCCCCTGCCATGGGCAGGGACACCTCCCACCAGCCCAGGTTGCCCAAGGCCACCTCCAGCCTGCCCTTGAACACCTCCAGGGATGGGGCCTCACCAACCTCTCTGGGCAACCTCTTCCAGTGCCTCACCACCCTCAAAGTGAAAAACTTCTTCCTAATGTTTAATCTAAACCTGCCCTCTTCCAGTTTATAGCCATTCCCCCTCGTCCTATCGCTACATGTCCCAGTAAAAAGTCCTTCCCCCGCTCTCCTGCTGGGTCCCCAGAAAGCACCTGTTCCCCTGCACCATCCATGGTGTCCACCCTGGATGCTGAGGACCTATAGGGCAGACAGGTCTCTAGATGACCCTTGGGGCATGCAGGTCCTTGGTGGCCCCACGGGTCATGCAAGTCCTTGGTGGACCCAATACCATGCAGCAGGCTCCCTATAGGGTCTAGGGGAACCACCATGGCCATCCAACACTACTTGGGGGTCCTGCCCCTGCCCCATACGCCAGGAGAGACCCAGCTGCCTCCATGCCATGGGGTGGATAGACCAGGACAGGCCACCCTGTGCTTAGCATACCTTGATGTCCCAGTTGACCACCTTGTGCCCTGTCAGCCTCCCGTCCAAGCCGTGGCTGGGAGAGAGGTCCAGGCAGATGTTGTTCCTGCAGGCCTAGAAGAGAGCACCATGGGAGTATCCTCATGCTCCTGGAGATGTCACCTATGGCAGAGGGACTACCAGTGCTGTCCCCGTCCCCGGGGCGGGTGGCTCTCCTCACCTGTGGGGTATAGTACAGCAAGAGCTTGCTGCTGAGCTCCACCAAGTCACCTTCCAGTGTAAACGGTGATGTGACATTTGGTCCTAGGGGAAGAAGACTGGGGTGAGCTGGGGCATGCTTGAGGAGACCACAGTTGCCACCAGCACTGCTGTGGACGCCCCCCGTGTCCCACCCTGACGTACCTGCACAGAAGAGCGCCTTGACCTGGGCTTGCTGCAGAGCCTCGCAGAAGATGGCCACGGAGCCCAAGTGACCCTCCAGGGAGGTGGGGCTGCCCCACTCGGTGTCCTGGCTGCCAGCCGCCGTGGTGGCCACCACCCCCTCGGTGGGGGGCTGAGTGGGGGTCCAGGCATGGGGGCCCAGAGCAGCGGGGACGGACTGGGAGCGGCCGAGTGCGGGCCGCGGGGGGAAGACCATCTCTGGCCCGTGGGATGCTGGCGGGTGGCCGGTGGTGGTGGCAGTGGTGGTGGTGGTCCGGTGGCCCGCAGAACCAATGCAGCAGGAGGTGAAGGACTGGAAGGGAGAAGGAGTTGTGCTCAGCCCCTGGCCTCATACCATGGGGAGGGGTTGGGCTGGATGCCGGAGGGGTCCCCCACCTCATGGAGGGAGGGGAAGCGGAGCTGCGCCGTCTTCCGCAGGTGCCCATCGGTGTAGATGCTGACGATGTTCTGGCCAAAGGGCCGGCGGCCGGCGACGTGGACAATGTCAACGCAGTGCTGGGGGGAGAGGGAGGTGGTGTTAGGCGTCCCGGTGTCCTCATTGCCCTCCTGATGTGGACGGGGATGGGGATGATGCTCACCCAAGCCGAGTCGTTGAAGGCAAACTCTGGCAATGCCACCGTCATGTAGTCCTTCTTGGTGCAGACGGCCACCACCAAGACCCCACCGGCAGTGAAGAACGCCTCGAAGCCTGTGCCACCGGCCGTGAAGAAGCTGGTGGAGGAGAGGCATGGTGGGGATGGTGGTGCTGCCCTTTCTCATCCTCACCGCAGCCCCCCCAGGTCCCTCCACTGAGCATCACCTATAGAGCTGCCTCCTCTTCGGCCTCACCAGTGGCTCGGGCTCCTCCTCGCTCAGGCACAACCAGGCGTGAAAGGCGAAGGCACCACCGGGCCACTTCTGGACAGCAGGCACCA